TCCCATCATCTGGAGCCAAAAATATTATCTTCTGACCCAAAAAGCTACTAATAAACCTTGTTTCTTTCTATAGGCCAAGCAAGAGAAATGATTTTGCCCTAAGCAACAAAGCAAAAAGAACAAGATTGTTCTCTGGATCCTCCCACCCCTACTCTTGCCCTCTCCCACCTCCAGCCACCCTCCACTTCCAGGTACCTCCCTCCTGCCCTTGGGCTGCCTGGAGTCCCACAAACTGTCCCCATTCCCACAGGCTCCCTTCCTTCCTAAGAGCTGCCTAGCCCCAAGTTAAACCCCCCATTTTTTCCCTCCCCATCCAAATTCCAAATCAATCTCAAAATCTCTCTCTCTCTCTCTCTCTCTCTCTCTCTCAGACTGTTTATGCACAGAATGTTGTGTTCTTTCCCTCTCCGTTTCTTCAGGAGTCTGAGTGAGAGAAGGCTGCATTATGGAGGCACACAGGAAAGCTGGCATAACTGGGGCCATTTGCTAATGATGCACCAATAAGAAGTTAAATTAATGGTACTGTATTTTTTGTTACTGATCCATTGGAAAACTGGGGGGGGGGGGGGGAAGCTAAAAACAGTAAGCTTCAGTTATGAAGACAATTCACTCATGTGAGCCTCACTCCCCCTAAATTGCAAAGATAAATTAAAATGAAAGCTTGTGTACTATATTTATATTTTAAAAGATGAGATTGTTGTCCCAAATTAATCTCTAAATGGCAGGGTAAGTCAGGGGAGAGAGAATGGAGGCATACTGTAAACCCTTTGTCAACTTGTCAACTCCCTGCCTCAAAAGACCTCAATCCACTGCACCACTAAAAAACCTCAGAGATCAGTAAAGGGCACCCCTCTTTCTGAAAGTTTGCTAAACTGACCTAGGCCTCTGTGGCTAGCCTCGTAGGGTTAAGACACAATCAGCAGCTCTCCAAAAGGCCACACACCTCTGACTTTACATCTCTGCCTATAAAACAAGAACATTTATCACCTCCTTCCTTTGGAACTCTTAGCTGGCTTCACCAGTGGCCAATGACAATAAAAATGTTTGTTATTTATAATGCCCAATAGCATGCCATGTCTGAGGACAGAGTCCCAAAGCACAGGGATTACGTTTTTACAATGTGATACAATTGTGGATGGAAAAACTCCAATCATGACCCCCTTCTCAAAATACCAGAATAAGAAACAGAGATGGACAGAACCACTTAGAGGCCACAAGCCTGTCCATATTTACCAAGGCCCCCGCCCCCACACTGCTCCTCCCTGCCTTTTCCCTATGTGCTAGCGCTCCTCAAGGCCCCTCTTCTCATCTTGCTCCATATTCTCTCCTAAGGAGACCTCATGCTCTCCTTTGGCTTCAGTTACAAGTCATCAATTCCCAAATGTTGATCAACCCTCAGCCCAGGTGATTCTCCTGATACAGACCTGTACATCTTAAAGGCACCTGTTTAAAACTGAACTCAGCATGTTCCTTCTCCACCCCCATCCAAGCCTGCTCCTTCACCAGGTTCCCCACTGCATCCAGTAAATTCCCATCATCCTCCCAGTTATACAGCAGGCTCTCTGAGACACAGTCATCTCCAGGACATAGGGGTCTCCAGAACACATTGTATTCTGTTAAGCGAAAAAAGAAAGATGTGAAACTGTGTTTACTAGTAATAGTACGCTACCTTATGTGTATCAAAGAGGGAGTATACATACATACATACATATATATATGTGAAATATACATATATCACAAATATACATTTGTGTATGTTTTCAAAAAAAAACAAAGGAAGGATAAATCAAAATAATAAAAAAGGCCACCTAGTTGGAGGAAGGAAGGGAAAAGGTTGAAGAATACTGAGATTAAAGGAAACTTCTGTGACTGTATCTTGTTATACAGTTTTGACTTTGGGAAATGTTGTATATAAATGTTTTATATAATTTTAATTAAATCAAAAGAAAAAAAGCCCTAAAAATGAAAAACAAATTAAAGCAAATTAACCTAATTGTATGTCATGATGGAAGTATACCTATATGAAGAAAAGAATTACTAAACACAGTACTCTGACCAGACATCCCTTCCTGAATGTATCTGTAGGCCAAAACAGAACCACAAAGAAATCTTAAGTTTCACTCTGAGTCTTACTATTAGAGTGAAACCAATATAGTTATTTTAAAACTATAACAAGTGTATCGTAGGTGTGCAGAATAGAGTACCGTTAAAAAAGCTGCTATCCTTAGAAAAGTCAGCTTGTAAGGCTGGCCCTTGGCTGGCATCTGGGAAAATGGATTTGGGGTGGTTCCCACCATTACCAGAACTGGGGTGGCTCACTGTGTCTACAAACTATTTGTGCAAACAATAAGGTTTATGCTGAATACCTGCTTTCCCTTCAGAAGTCTGGAAGTTTAGTCTGTGCTAAGCAGAGGGTGCTATGTGACCATCCCCAATAAAAACCCTAGGCCAGGGGTGGGCAACCTTTTTGTGAGTGCATGCCAAAACCAGCAAAATCTGACTCAAAATTCTTCTGCGTGCCAACCCTAATTTTTTGAGAACATGTTACGCCTACTTGATATCTCTTAAGGTGTACGTATGTGAAGAACCTTGAAGAAATAATAAAATTCATTCGAGCGACAAAAACACAGTATATGATGATGAAAAAAATACATTTATTTTTTAATGTATACATGTACACTGATAGTCCAACAGAAAACTTTATGACTCTGTTTGATACTATTAGTGGGACTTTTGCTGCTGCATCACTGATGACAGAGATTTTACATCAGGTTTATATTTTGTGACCTTCAGAGATATGCACGAGCTACTACTTTCATCCGTCAGGCTACTCCTATTATGAGACTTAACAAAATTCATCACTAAGAACAAAGATTCACAAGCGTATGTGGATAAAAACATGGAGAGTAACGCTGTTGCAAAGTTTTTTAAACAGAAAAAATTTTCTGGAATGGCATTCCAAGTCCTCAATAGTTTGTTTTCAAAACTATTGAAATTGCTCTTCCCCTCTCTCGTCAATCCATGTCTATGGTCTTTAAGATAACTTGTTATGTAAAATTATTTATTTAAGATGCACCTACACTGAATTTATCTGAAAAATAAAAAAGTCGATATTAAGAAAAAAATTGTAAATGGAAGATTATAAGAGAGGGTTTCGCGTGTCAGCAAAAGTTACTGGCGTGCCATGTTTGGCACACATGCCAAGGGGTTGCCCACCCCTGGTCTAGGCAATGAGTCTCTAATGGCTTTCCCTGGTAGACAATATTTCACACAACTCAATGGAGCTCTCACTGAGACTATTTGAGCATTAAAAAAAAAAAAAAAACCTAAAATTAAAACCTAACAAACATATAAATATATATGTACAAAATATATGAAAACCAAAGCTTTGCTAGTTAAAATTGGAGACTGCTAAAGCCCAAACTCACTACTCTAGAAATTAATAAAGAGAAAGATCCAAGCATAAATCCTACCTTTTAGTATGAACAGCATTTCAGAGTAACCACACAGACAATAAGGAAAAGGCCTTCTTCAATGAAGAATTCCAACAAATAAATGGAGAAAGAAATAATGGATCTAAGCAATGATCATCAATGAGTGCTAAAACCATCTAGGGCAGGGGTGGGCAAACTTTTTGACTCGAGGGCCACAATGGGTTCTTAAACTGGACCGGAGGCCCGGAACAAAAGCATGGATGGAGTGTTTGTGTGAACTAATATAAATTCAAAGTAAACATCATTACATAAAAGGGTACGGTCTTTTTTTTTTTTTTTTAGTTTTATTCATTTCAAACGGGCCGGATCCAGCCCACGGGCCGTACTTTGCCCACGGCTGATAGGGGAAAGACTTATGGGATTTATAACAGAGGGATCAGCTAACTTCATCTTATCCCAATGATCAACCCTAGAATCTTTATTATTTTTTTTTAAATATATTTTATTGATTTTTTACAGAGAGGAAGGGAGAGAGATAGAGAGTTGAAACATCGATGAGAGAGAAACATCGATCAGCTGCCTCCTGCACATCTCCTACTGGGGATGTGCCCGCAACCAATGTACATGCCCTTGACCGGAATCGAACCTGGGACCCTTCAGTCCTCAGGCTGACGCTCTATCCACTGAGCCAAACCGGTTTCGGCAACCCTAGAATCTTTAAATGTTTAACAACCAGACACCACCTGCCTATTGATGACATAGGACAGGAAGTACACAGCACCAGCTATGACGTGTTCTCAACAATAACCTGATCTGAATTGAATCAAGTCTCTATCAAATTTTCTATTGATAGGAAATATGTGAAACAGAGAAACAGGGCAAGTGACACCACAAAGATACAATCAGCCAAATCCTGCATGTGGATATCCTAGATGACAATGACCTGCTTTCACCAAGATATTGATTAATATCTTGAGAAAAGTAAGGGTGGTGGTGGTGGTGGTGGTGGTGGTGGTGGAAGGAGGGTGTATAACTATAGAATAAGAGTCAAAGCAACAAAAAAGCCAATCTGATCATGTCATTCTCTTACTTAAAACCCTCTGGGCTCTGCCGACTCTTCTGCACCTCTCTCATCATGTCCCCTCTGAGCTCTAACCGCCATCACCTGCATTCAGTTCCTTGAACTAGCCCCTCCTTTATTCCTCAGGTACTTACCACGCAGTTCCCTCTCCCTTGGGGAGGAAAAGTGACCTAGCCACTTGGGTCCCCTCTTGCCATCCCCCTCACAGCACCCTGTACTTCTCAGATGTGTATGTTTCACATCTGCCCTGGAGGGCAGACACCTCCTCTTTTAGCAGAGTGTAACACGAAATAAAAATCTGCTCAACACACATGTGAACAAATAAAGTATTAATCACATGGCTCAATGTCACCAGGCAGGAAGTTAGGGACACCTTATTAATAAAGCCCAGCATAGTCCCTGCTGATCTTTGTTGCTGTGATATCTATTTTTACTACCCAGACCCACCCTGGGGAGCTGAGGGACACAAAGAAGGAAGGACTCACCGCCTCGTGGGACTTGGGAACAGGTATGATGATGGCCAGCACACAGATGAGCTGGAAGATGGCCCCCAGGAAGAGTCCATACCGTAGCAGGTTCTCCAGGAATGTGGGCTCAGGCACCTCAGGAGGTGAGAAGTCCAGGTCAGAGGCCATGGCTCCCGCTATCTGAGGTCTCCTCTGAGGACTCACCACACTCCAGAGCCAACTTCTAAAGGCAAAGGGTAAGTGTCATTTTCTACAACTGACTTTTAAATGGTATCATTACACAACACACACACACACACACACATATATATGCAAGAATATATAAAACAATGGTGGTGAAATCAATTATTGAATCTAGGTGGAGTATATATGGATAGTCATTGAACCATTCTTTCACCTTTTTGGTATGTTTGATTTTTTTTCCCAATTATAAAGTTAGGAAAAAATAAATAAGTAAATGCAAACACTTCAACAAAAATCTCAAATCAACACACATTTACTAAAGGCCTGCTATGTTTCTTATGTGTTCATTTATTCATCTAGTCATTCATTCAACAAATACTTAGTGAACACCAAGCATTGAAGAGTGAGTAAAACAGACATATCTCTATTCTCATAGGGTCTACATCTCAGGAAAAAGGCAAAAACACATCCAGATGTGAAACACCAGCTATTTACAACTGTTTTTTAAAAAACAAAACTTAAGAAGGGCATCATTCATTTTGTATAGAGTGACAGGAAGTGCTCTCTGAAGAAGAGATGGGAATAAAGTGGCAGAGATATGAAATGCGAGAGTAAACCATAGAAACATCTCAGGGCACATATCCCAGGCAGAGAAAAAAGCAAGTGAGAGGCCCTGGGGGCAAGGACATGAGTCCAAAATGGCCAGAGAGGGGAGCTCAGGAGGGAGAGAGGAGAGAGGTAAAATCAGAGAGGAGTGGGGGCTGACCTTGCAGAACCCTCACACTTTCGATTTGATTAACATGTAAAGCCATGGAAGTGTTTTTAGCAGAGAAGTGACATGACTTGACTTACACTAATGAGGGGAGGAGGGGTGCAGAGTGGACACGGAGATCAGTGAGGAGGTTATTGCCAGTAACTCAAATAAGAGATGCTGGGGACATGGATGACAGGGGCAGTGGTGGAGGCTCTGGCTTCGGCCCACCTCCAGCCTCTCCTTTTACCTGGCCTCCCACTCCTAATACCCTGGTCAAGCTGAAAGAACTGCCTGTAATTCTCTAAGAGCACCAGGCTCTTCCTCCAAGGCTGAGCTCTCAAGTGCCACCTCCCAAGCACGTCTTTCTCATTGCCACCTTCCTGACTGAACTACTCCCCCTCTACCACAGCACTCACAAGTGGCTTCCCTCTGCCCACCTCAACGAACAAGGGGCTAAATTACTTTGGAACCAGGCCCACCTGACTCCAAAGCCCTTTGTTTCTTCAGAGATCTGTGTCCCAGTGCAATTTTCTGTGAAATCTGAGCTAATGTGGTGGCCAAGAGTCACATGTGGCTATTGAGAGTTGAACTATAGCTAGTCCAAGCTGAGAGTGACTGTTAAGTTAAATACACACTCAATTTAGAAGATGATATGAACATAAGAATGTAAAAGATCTCGTTAATAATGTATCTTGATTATATGTTGAAATGATATATTGGGTTAAATTGATTACATTATCAATTTCACCTGATTTTGAAAAGAAAGAACAAAGTTATAGGATTCACTTTCTGGTTTCAAAACTTGTTACAAAGCTACAATAATCAAAACAGTGTGGTACTGGTATAAGGATCTAGGCCAATGGAATAGAATAGAGTGCCCAGAAATAAATCCTCACATATACAGCCAATTCATTTCCGAACAAGGGTTACAAGACCATTCAATGGAGGAAGTGCAGTCTTTTCAACAAACAGTGCTAGCAAAACTGGATATTCACATACAAAAGAATAAAACTGGACCCCTACCTTACACCATATACAAAAATTAACTCAAAATGGATCAAAGATCTAAACTCAAGAGCTAAAATTATAAAACTTATGGAATAAAACATAAGGGAAACTTTTCGTGACATTGGATTTCTTGGATGTGACACCAAAAGCACTGGCAACAAAGAAAAAAATAAAATGAACTTCATAAGAATTAAAGATCTTTTGTGTATCAGAGGACATTATCAAGAGAGTGAAAAGACAAACTGAAAAAGTTTGGTGGTGTCTCAAAAAGTTAAACATAGAAATTACCATATCATCCAGCAATTCCACTCTTTGGCATATACCCAAAAGAACTGAAAGCAGGACTCAACCAGATACTTGTATATCAATAATCACAGCTGCATTATTCATAATATTCAAAAGATGGAAATAGTCAAGAGTCTACCAACAGATGAATGGATAAACAAAATGTGGTATATACATACAAAGAAATATCATTCAACTATTAAAAGGAATAAAATTCTGATACACGAATGAACCCTGAAAACATTATGCTAAGTGAAATAAGTCAGACACAGGATAAATGTTGTATCATTCTACTTATATGAGGTACTGAGAGTAGGCAAATCCATAAAGACAGAAACGAGAATATAAGTTATCAGGGGTTAAAGGAGAGGAGTGGGGAATTATTGTTTAACCAGAGGCCGGGTACATGGATTCGTGCACCAGTGGGGTCCCTTGGCCTGGCCTGCGGGGAATCGGGTCAAAACCGGCTCTCCAACATCCCCCCTCAGAGGGGTCCCAGATTGTGAGAGGGCGGTTCTCGGGTGATGCATCCTGGAATCGGGCTCCCTCCTCTCTGGTTCCAGGTGCCTCACCTGAGAACCGCAGCTGCCAAGTCACCACAGCTCGGCAGCTCCTGCATTGAGTGTCTGCCCCGGGTGGTCACTGCACATCATAGCTACCAGTCGGAGCGTCTGCTCCCTGGTGGGTGTGTGTGTGTGTGTGTGTATATATATATATATATATATATATATATATATATTTAGGTACAAAGTTTCAGTTTAGCATGATGAAAAAGTTCTGGAAATAGAGGATGGTGATGGTTATACAATGTTGTGAATGCCACTGAATTGTATAGTTAAAATAATAAATTTTATGTTATGTGTAGTTTACCACAACAAAAAATAATTTTATGTTTCTTTTTACTTTTTAAATGTTGCTACTAGAAAATTTACAATTACACCCGTGGCCTGCATTGTATTCCTATGGCATAGCTCTGGCTAAAGACTGTCCTTAGGTCTTCCTCCACGTTGGCCCCGCAGCTCATTACTTTGCAACATTTTCCAACATGAAGGAGGAGTGACTAAAGTATAACAAAAATGACCTTCTAACTAAAGAGACTGGGACTTATGCAAATATATATTGTATCTTTTTCAACCTGGTCACTGAGGAAGGTCCTGTGCTGTGCCAACAAGGTGGTCGCCTTTTCACACCACTTGTCTTCTTTAGGAAGAGCCTTCAAAGCCTGAGCCCACCTCCCCCTTTTCTCCCCAAAGTTCTCAGAGCTGGCTGATCTTCATCCTCCCAGGGAGAGTTTGATTTCTGGAAAGCACCCAACATCATCTGGATCCAAGTGTGGTGAATCAGGTGGGGCCGCAAGCTCAGGAATACCATTTTTGGTCAAATACAAGGTATGATGCTAAGACACCAGGCAGATTTTTGGGGGTGGATCATAAACTGGGCCCTGAAATGAATTCCAACGCAGCTTGTGAGCACAGCTTCACTGGAGGAAACCTACAGCCCCAACAGGGCTGTATATACTATGCCATGTAAATAACAAGGTGTAAGAAAGACCTCTTATTTCTTCAGTTGCACCTTATAAACACATTTTTTTAAAATGCGTTCGAGAAGCCGCCTCCCTCCCTCCCTCCCTCTCTCTCTCTCTTTCTC